TCTGAGGTCGTAGATATGAAATGGAGAGCAGAGGAAAGTGGATGCTGAGTAGGGATGTTATGTAGTGAGTAAAATAATAGTAGACTAACTGCATGAATTTTTAGCAGTTAGTTAACGATTCCATAGTCCCCAGGGGCTGTAACAGAGGCAGCAGCACGCAGTGCCAAGCGGGAGCTGGTCCACGAGGGGCCAGTTTAAAAACCAGCTCCCCTTGTGGACCAGCTGCTTGTCACCCTGTGCTGCTATCTCTGTATCAGCAGTAGCAGCGCCAGGTGGCAGCAGCCCCTGTCTGTGGAGGGGTCCGAGCTCCCCACAGACAGAGCCTGGTGGGGAAGGAGTAGGGGAGGCTGCTGCGAAGCAACCTCTGGCCGTGGTAGTCCAGGCTGGCCACGGACAGGGGACTGCTGCTGGGGACCAGTCTCTGTTTGCAGTGGGTCCAAGCTCACCGTGGACAGAGGCTGCTCCGTGGGATGTGGAGCAGCCTCTGCCCACGGGGAGCTCAGACCTCAGCCCCCCTATGGACAGGCGCTGCTGCCACAAAGCAATCTCCCCTGCTTCCCTTCCCCCACTCTGCTGCCTCTAATAGAGGCAGCAGCATGGGGCCAGGTGCAGCTGGCTCCACTGTGCATGGGGAACTGGCTTTTAAGCTGGTTCCCCCCAGCACTGCCTCATGTTTCCCCTCCGCCCACGCTTTCCGCCTCTGATACAGAGGCAGAAACGGGGGGAATGTGAGTGGTTAACTAGATTAACTGATGAGCGTAGGCATATCGGTTAATTGTCTAGTCAACTACTTGTTGACATCCCTAGTTCTGAGGTCAGGAGGTACCATGGAGCTCAGAGATTGGGGAGAGCAGTGACGAGGGAGGTACGAGATTAGTGAGACAGCATGAAGTTTTAAGGTGTGCTGAGTAGGGTAAGAAGGTGATTATGACTGAGATCAGAGTAGTGTTTCATCTATTTTTTTTTTTTCATTCATAGGAGAGGTAACACCAGGATTGTCACAGGTGGAATACGCTTTGCGCCGACACAAGCTGATGACTTTGATCAAGAAAGAGGCACAAAAGTGTAGTGGGATGGACCACACAGTGATTCTGCTATCCAACCCTACCTACTACATGAGCAACGACATCCCATACACTTTCCACCAGGACACAAATTTCCTATATTTGTGTGGGTTCCAGGAACCTGACAGCATCCTGGTGCTGCAGAGTTTGCCTGGCGAGGCGCTGCCGTCCCACAAGGCCATGCTCTTTGTACCACGGCGAGATCCAAGCCGAGAGCTATGGGATGGGCCACGATCAGGCACAGATGGGGCAGTAGCTTTGACAGGAGTGGATGAAGCTTACCCCATAGAGGAGATTAGATACCTGGTGACCAAGCTGAAAGGTAATGGGAAGAAGACGAGATGCAACGCAGATTAGAGGGACTGGATGACATAAGATTGGGAAGTGCTTTCTGTCACTTTTTTCAACCATACCCCATATTGAGTAGCACATGATGACACTGGGAATGGGAATTGGAGAGTTTCACGTCTAAGTTTCTGGTTGCAATTTGGCCCCATTTTGGTCTGACAGACAAAAAAACCCATGTACAGTAAAGCTCCAGTGGTCTGGCATCAAATGGTCTGGCACCATCTGGAACCCGGAAGTGCTCCGGGCAGCTGGACAGTGGAGCTGCTCTGCCCCTGGCTTCCCCAATTCAGGCGCTGGTCAGTTTCAGCATCGGCTGACTTGGGGACTCCTGGGGCAGAGCAGCTGGGATGCTGCTGGGTTGGTGTCTCCCCTCCCCCACTCCACCCTAGACACTCCACCATAACCCCCCCTTCCGATAGTCCGGCATATCTGATAATCTGGCACCCCCTGGGTCCTAAAGGTGCCAGATTATCGGAAGTGTACTGTGTATAGCTCTTAAATGGCTTTTGTGGGTTAGTGGTCTGTATCCAGGCACTACTGAACAGATGTCACTGGAAACACAAGTGCCACTAATTGAAACTTTGTTGTCAGTGTCAAGAGAAATTAAGTAATCGTAGGACCACAGAGACTGACTTTCCTCGTTGCCCTTAAATGTGGCCATTCAGTGTTACAGGGGAAGTACATTAGCACTGACGTTGCGTGTGGTACTCATACTATAATGGTATTTTACAAGGGGACTTGTCTCTAAAGGCTCTCAGCCAGCATCATTGACCTGCATTTAATTCACTTTAAAAACCATATGTGGTGATAACAAACAACATCTTCACAACTCTTCATTTCCTAGATTGTATGTTGTATATTTGCTGTATCTTACCAGATTGTATTACACAAGCTACGTCTACACAGCAACATTATTTCGAAATAACTAGTGTTATTTTGAAATAGCATTGGCTGCGTCTGCACAGCTGGCAGTTATTTTGACATAATGTCGAAATATTGTCAATCTGGAAGACTTCTTACTCCAACTTCTGTAACCCTCATTGTACGAGAAGTAATGGAAGTCAGAGGAAGAGGGCTCTATTTCGAAATAAGTGCTGTGTAGACAGCACCAAAACTTGAAATAAGCTATTTTGAAATAAGCTGCACAATTGACATAGTTCAATTTGGATAGCTTATTTTGAGCTAAGCCCAGGTGTGTAGATGTGCCCACAGCGATGTTTGTAAAAGGTCACTTATTAGAAAACTTCCTGTCTTAACCACCCCAGAATGTGCCCAAATATATTAAATACAGTTCTTTTCCACCTTTATCAGAGCATTGGTTCTCAACTGGGGGGGGCGCGATCTGTGACTGTTGAAAGCTTTCATGGGGACCCTGGAGTTCTACAGCTAAAACTCAGTGTCCCAATCCCTAGCGCCTCCTCCACAGGGCTGAAGCCCCAAGCCCTGGTGTCAACCCCTCATCCGTATCTGATGAAAGCCAGGAGGGGTGGGACTGAAGCTGAGTACCCCAAATCGACCCTGGAGCTGAATCCCTGAGCTCCCCCTGCCCTAATGGTAGCTGGGAGCAGCAGGCCAGAAGCCCTGATGTAGGAAGAAGCCCTGAGCTCATGGGCAGAGTTAGGGGAGCACAAGGGTGTTGTTCTCCCAAATTGCAGTGTCTTATCTAGAGAGGCAGCAGCTCCGTCCTCCACCTCATTCTCTACGGGTACGTCTAGACTACATGCCTCTGGCGACAGAGGCATGTAGATTAGGCTACCCGACAGAGTAAAATGAAGCGGCGATTTAAATAATCGCATGGGCAGAGTTAGGGGAGCACAAGGGTGTTGTTCTCCCAAATTGCAGTCTTATCTAGAGAGGCAGCAGCTCCATCCTCCACCTCATTCTCTACGTCAGCCCTCCTCAGGCACTGCTTTCTGGCCAGGTTATAGGTGGAAAGCTGGAGCCAGGCAGTGCAGAACAGCTGCTCCTTTGGCTCATGGTGCCGTGGAGCAGGCAGCGGTGGCATTCCCTCATCTGCTGCAAGTGCAGGGAGACATGGCTGCTCAGAGCTGCTGGGGTGGCAAGATTTGGCTCTGGGGCAGGCACAGCCTTTGGAGAGAGCAGCCAGTATAGACAGAGCCCTACTGGAACCCAGCCACTTGATAATCCTTTTGCTGTAACTGTGTTACCCCTCTGCCTGTGCCAGTTACTAGCTACCCCCTCCCCCTGCCTGCACGTAGCGCCTAGCTACCCCCTCCCTGCACTTTGAGCTGCCTCTAAATAGGCCCTCGCTGCTTCCTCTAAGAATGTTAAGGACTAGTAAACTAGTCGATTCCTCCCTCCCCCCCTTGCTGCCTCGATCAGATAGATGCAGCAAAGGGGGGGAGGAGGAAAGGGTACTTCAAAGCGGCAGTTCTGCACAGCTGGGCTGAGCTGTATGGCACTGCCACTTTGAAACCGTGGCTCAGCTTTGCGGAGCTGCCCCTTTAAATGCCCAAGCGCTGTGGTACCTGGGATCAGCTGGGGACTTCCCAGCTGACCCTGGGTTCCAAGCAGCATTTCTCCAGACCCCAGGCTCCATGGCTTTGAAATGCACAAAAGCCCCTGCTGGGGACTCTTGTACATTTCAAAGCAGGCACACCTGCGTGTGGCCCGGAGTCAGCAGGACTTCCCACTGTCCCAGGCTGCACAAGGAGTTCCGCATTCCTCCTTTGAAATGTACAAGAGACTCAGCCAGGGCTCATATACATTTCAAGGAAGGAATGCAGAAGTGCCTATGGACTAGTTGATGGAAATTCCATCGACTACTCGCCTAGTCAATTAACTGCAATTTAACATCCTTAGCTTTCTCCCTGCACCCTGAACTGCACACCACAGTGCACACAGCCCCTGCCTGAACTCTGAGCAGTTTTCAGACTTAAAGGGGAAACTCAACTCAAGAGTTAAATTTTTTGGTCCCCTGGCACAACTCAGGCAGGTTAAGTGGTCTGCTGAAATGCATTAAGGGGTGGAGGTGGTGCTCCTTCCCTGGAGCTGGCCCAAGAGCTGCCAGCCCTTGCTCCTCCAAAATACAAATCAAACTGTGCCTAGGCTCAAGCATCCCACCCATGGCCTGCAGCCCCAATCACTCCCTGTCCCTGTTGGGCTTTGGAGTTTTTAAAGAATGCTGAGCACAGCCTCAAAAAGGAAACGGCTGAAAACCACTGTATTATAGGACTGTCTCTGTTAAGCAAATAGTATTTGTTAGTGTTTTGTGGGATTTCCACAGAAGTGTTTTGATGAAGGGATGTTCCACTTCTGTCTTTGCCTCTCCTCTTTCTTTCTCTGTGTATAACTTCTGTTTTTAAAAAACCTGAAAGAACAAGAGAAGAAAAATGGAACCCAGCAGTCAGACTAGTTGCCAATCTAGTGTCTCATAGCAGCCAGTACCTGATGCTGCAGAGGGAGGTTGCAAGATACCTCTTAGGCTATGTCTACACAGCAGCATTCTTCCAGAGTAACATAGTGCGTGTCTAAACAGCAAGTCTGTTATTTCAAAATAAATTCCTTCTTGCTCTGACTCCTGTAATCCTCAGGTTATGTCTATACTACAGGCTTCTTGCACAAGAAGCTTTTTGCAGAAGAGATCTTTATTATAGAATACATTGCATAGAGGGAAAATGTATTGGTAGATCTCCCTTATGCCCCAAAGCACGAGAGTTTCTCCCCTGTGTATTTTTTATCTTATCTAGTATAACTGGATGGTTTCATTATCCATAATTGCTAGCTCTGTTAAAGGAGAACTTTTAAAAACTATTTACTAACTTACATTGACAGAAAACTTACTTTAAAATGACATTCATGGATGCAAATGTGAGGCTCTGACCTCATCAAGTACAAAAAAAATCACATTTCATGAATAGGATCAGTGTTCCCTCTAAGCTGTGGGGCAGCACATCTTCACAAGTGATTAATCAGCCCCGCTCAGTCAGTGGGTTCTGTGCACTGAGCCCCAAGCCTCTGACTGGGTGGGGCAGATGAATCACCTGTGAAGCTGTGCTGCTGCACGACTTAGAGGGAACACTGAATATGGGTGATGCTGATCCCAAAGTTCTAGGCAGATTTCAGTGTGAGTAATTACATTCTTCCTGAGGAACTCCAGTGGAATGCCTGAGACGGCATTTCCAAACAATTCACCCCAAATATAATTTCTATTGCCACCTGCCCCAGATGGTGATGAACAAGAGGTTGATTTGTATTATGGGATCTCCGTTGGGATCAAACAGGGCATCTAAGCTCGGGAATCTAAATTTTTATTTAGTCATACAAGTTATGTTTTTGTCATGAAACATTTCCCCTCAGTTTACTTTATCCCACTTTCTGAGAAGGAAATGTAGGGGGGGGGGGAATAATATTTGTAGAAATTTGTATTTATTTACTGAGTGTATACTTTTCAATTCAAAAACTAATTTTAAATCTACAAAACACAGATAGACTTGTTTACCTGCATGTTACTAACCTTTTAAGATCTAAAAAGATCATTAAACTAGTAACACTGAGGTCACGTGTCAGGTATAAGATCATATTACAAATCTAGAGGAAGTTAGCTTTCAAATGACATGTCACACCTTCAGCTTTTTCTAGTCTTAAGTATTCACTCATACCGTGACTTCCAAACATCTTTAGTTTGCATCTGTTTTGTTTTGTGTGTCTCAGGTGACTCAGACATGGTTTGGTATGATTCTGCAAAACCAGTGCACACGCAGCTCCACTCTGACTACCTGCAGTCTCTGGCCGAGATCAAAGCTAGGAGCAAAAACCATATCCAAGGTATTAATCATCTAGTGCAACAACTCCGGATGATCAAATCCCCTGCAGAGATCGAGAGGATGAAGGTTGCTGGAAGGGTGACATCACAGGTATGGAACATGAACCCATCAAGTAAATACAGGCAGTCATTTCTTGAGTGAGGGGTAGCCCCATGGACCAGTACACTCAAGCAAAAAGAAATTGGATTGAATTCAGATGGGCTGGAGTGGTAACTTTAGTCTTTCCTGAACTCTCTTCATAGACACACAATTTCTTGAATTCTCTCTTAGCCATGCTCTACTTCTATCCCCCATATCATTCTGGGTATGAGGCCTGCTGTTTGAACTGCTAGGGTGTGTCTAGACTACACGGCTCTGTCGACAGAGCCATGTAAACTAGTTTACCTGACATAGTCAATGAAGCGGGGATTTAAATAATCCCTGCTCCATTAAAATAAAATGGCCGCCGCACTGTGCCAACAATCAGCATCATTGACTATGTCGGGTAAACTAGTTTACATGGCTCTGTTGACAGAGCCGTGTAGTCTAGACACACCCCTAGAGTGCTCAACCTTAGCATAATTCCAGTGTAGACAACCAGAGAGTTGTTATATATTTGACATCCTTTAAAAATGGTATCCTATTCGGAACAAGGATATCCTCTTGTGCTTCCACCTTCTCCCTTACTTCCTCATGACATTTTCCTCCCTTCTTTTGCTGCTTTCCTCTCATTCTTATATTACAGACCGAGGTGAGAAAAAGGGACTGTCCAGTTTTCTTCACATCTTTCATAATCTTGAATATTTTTGTCAAGGAAAGTGAAGTTAAAGGAGACTCTTCCCTAGCTTCCAACCCCCTGCTAATGAGAGGACTGTATTGTTGTTTGGCAGGCTTTCATAGAGACGATGTTTGCCAGTAAATCACCAGTGGATGAAGCATTTCTGTATGCTAAGGTCAGTACTTTGTTGGGTGATGGATGATTCTGGGGAAGTAGTAAGGGCAGTGTATTGTTTATTTCTCCAGGAAGAGTAAAAGGATCTGAGAGCGACCTATGTAGAGTTGTGAGTGGAATCCAAGTCCTTTCTCACCCAACTTTTCTGGTTCTTTTGACATGCGTATGACATCCCCCAGAAGCTGCAGCTCTATCAATCTTACTCCATTGAATGATGGCAGCAGAACATTTTGAAGTGTTCCATGGGCTATCTGTAGTCTTTCAACCCATGATTCTTGATGCTAAAAGCTGGAATTTTGTACACCTTAAGCTAAAGGAGTAACTCCCTTAGCTGGTGCTATACTAAACTCTTAACCTCTTATGTGGACTAATCGCCAGAAAGTGACTGACACTGCCAGTGTGCATTATTCATCTTTCAGAGAAAACTCTCTGTTTCAGTGGCTTTGCTTCAGAAGAGCAAGATGAGTGGAACTGAAGCTTCTGGATTGCTGAGGGTGCAATCCATCCCTCATCCAATAAGGGCCCCACACCTTCTCTGATCACCCTATTATTGCTGACATGCCTGTGGAAACCTTTCTTGTTATCCTTCACATCCCTTGCTAGCTGCAATTCCAGTTGTGCTTTCACCTTCCTGATAACTCCCCTGCATTCTCGAGCAATATATTTATACTCCTCCCTAGTCATCCATCCAAATTTCCACTTCTTGTAAGCTTCTTTTTTGTGTTTAAGCTCACCAAGGATGTCCCCTGTAAGCCAATCTGGTCGCCTAACACATTTGCTTTTCTTGCTATGCACACCCCTCATTTTTGGCCCCATCCCAGAGCCTAGGGGGCCCCACAAAATCCACTAACCCTGGAACCCCTGAAGAGTTAATCTGGCCTGAGGCCTTGAACCGTAGTCCAGTCTATCCTCCTCGTGGGGCTGGAGTGCCAGAGGAGTGAGGTGTCTCAGTTGGGACCACCTCAGTGAGGGTTGGTTTTTTTTGGAGCAGTTGGTTTTTTGCATCTCACTTGTGTGGTTCCCAACTGATTTTTCAGTGGATCAGTGCCCCCAGACCCAAAACAGATTCCCCACCCTTCCTGTAAATAAAGACAATGTTGAAACATTTTGTATTGGACATATTTTATTTAAAAATGAAGCCTGGCCCACAAGCCCCCAATTGGGGCCAAGCCCCCATCTGGCTGCAGCATCGTAATACCCTTGGACTCCTTACACGTCTCAACCCTGAGCCCATCATAAACCTGAACCTTCTGCTCTGAGTCCCCCACATTCCAAACTCCTGCACCATCCACACAGCACAAACCTGTGCCTTGAGCCCCTTATACACCTCAACCCAAACTCCTGCATCCCGATATCCACAAGTCTTCAGCTTGCTCAGCACCCCAACCCTCCACCTGATCCCAACATTCTCCAGACTGAAGCCCCCTTCCCTAGCCAGAATTCCCTTCTTTACCTCCTCTCGCATCCAAATTCCCTCGCAGAGCTTGCACCTCACCCTTTCCCACACCCAAATCCCACATTCCCACCCCAGAGCCTGCACGTCCTGTCTCAACCCAGTGACAGTGAGTAAGGGCTGAGGACAGCAAGTGATGGAGAGGAGGGGAATGGAGTGGACAGGGTCTCAAGGAAGGGGTGGGGTCTTGAGGAAGGAATGGGTTAGATCTTGGCGTGCCCTCACATTTAAAATGTGATCTTGGGTGTAAAAAGGTTGGAGACCACTGATCTAAATAATGTGAGACTGGAGGAAAGCTAACGTAAGTGGAGTATTGTTGATACTGCTTAGGGATTTTCGCAGGACTCTCTCTTTGAGCAAGACAAGTGGGATGTGACCTTTGATGTCAGAGTTGAGAGGGGTCTGTGTTGATGGTGCAGGTTTCTAGGGAAACTGATTTAATTTAAGATTTAATTAAAAAGAAATTCTCCATCCTATCTTTGTACTATAGAGTCCACAACCCAAAGAATTTAGATTGTGGGTATCATGGAGCATTTTATCCAACACACCTTGGCAAAATTTACAAGTTGTTTGTTAAGGGTACTTTGTATAGCTTTGCTGTCTGAGGACATTAGCTAATTCATCCTCACTTATCTACTTCAACATTAGAGGAAGGTCAGGGGCAGGGATTTCTTTCATCATTGTGGCACAACCATTGTACATAGCCTGTCTGAATCTGTTGATGCCTTTTGCTCTGACACAAGATAGGGCATTCTCTTAATTAGGTAGTGAGACAGGGTCACAAAATTAGATATTGATCTAAGCATTAGCTGGTATTTTTTAATTAAAATACCTCCCAAAACTAGATATAGAAGAGCTACAGAAATGTGCAAAGTTGTATAGGAAGTGAGAACAGTGCTTTAAAAACATAGACATCCCCAAAACATTGTGGGAATGCAGTGTAACTTTTAGTGTCGCTCTTCTATGCCAACAACTGGGCTCTAGACACTTCTGTGAAAAATGACCATCCTGCCTCATCTTCTGCTGTTCTGTGGAATGCTCTTCTCAGTTTCCTTTTTTTCTGTGTTACTGCCCTCTGCATGGACAGAAAGAATGGCAGTAGGGGTAGCACTATGCTTCCCCAGAACAATTGGTTACTGTGCCAGAACTAATGGGCTTCTTCTCTCTGAATTGATCCAGTTTGAATTTGAATGCCGGGCTCGAGGGGCAGACATCTTGGCTTACCCTCCTGTGGTCGCTGGTGGCAACCGGTCCAACACCTTGCACTATGTAAAAAACAACCAGCTTATCAAGGTAAACCAATGTCTTTCGTGTGTTTAAACTCCAGTAATAATAGTGCGTCCACAGGTGCTACTCGCCCATCTATCAGCCCCTGACCATTGGTTACATGAGGCACACCTTGGTGCCTCTCTTGTGATAATAAGTGCTGAAACAAATTGAGTGGAATGAAAGAATATTTACGCAGCAGTGGGAGAGGGGAAGCTAATATAGTGATCTGTTGTTGTCAGTAAGGCCAACTTCAAATATTTCCTTCCCTTTTTGCTATCTTTTAATGCATCAATTGCCATATTTTCTAAAGGATGCAGAGCTTCTCTCATAGGTTGCAGATGTTGCTCAGTGACCATTCTGCTCCTGTACCACACATTTATGAAGTTCTTGTGCAGCAGTCTAGTATGCAGGACGCGTCTTGGATGTTGTAAAAGTCAGAGAATAGCACCAGTCACACTGAAGATAAAATTGTGATTAAAAAGGATGGTAGGGCCCCTCGTCTCTCTCCTGAATTCTTCTGTCTTGCTTTACTTTTACTATTTACTTTACTAGTAAATAGTGATAGCAAACTTCTACTCTTTTTATGACAGAAAGAAGTCCAATTAAATCACTTTAGTGAAGCTGAGAATGGAGGAAAATGTTTTTGGGTCTTTTTGACTTGCTGTTGGTGAATCTGTCTGTCTTGTTTTCAGGGCTCCGGACCATTGAATCTTTCTCCAGCAATTATGACAAAACAGTTTTAGCTTTATACGAGTCTCTGGAAGAGGTTACTACATTACTGTACTATGTCTATGACTCACTCTTCAGTACAGCCTGTTATCTTGCCAATCTATTAATGCAGGAGTGAGTTTCTCTCCTGGCTTACTCTTTTGTTAAAGAGAGAGTGCCAGTTGGGTCCTTGAAATATTCTTTACACACACCTGTGATAAGGTGGCAAAAAAGGGCATCCATTGTTACACTGCTAGTAAAGGTCAGGCTTGTGAGCATAACTCAGGTGGTGTCTGATAAAGTCAGTTCAGAGTGTTTTTAATAGTGTTATGAGGAACAAATAATCATGAGGATACAATCATTAGCAAGACATTTGCTTTGTTTTTCCTCTGAGGCTTACCTTTCTGCCAGCTGGCACAACAGTGTGTCTCACTTGGAAGACGTCACCCAAGAAAACCCCAGTTCCTCTTGATGCTGCCTTCTGGGGAGCTTGCCTTTTCCTAAGTAGAAATGTGATTGAGTTACTCTGGAATTAAGTCACCCATCTTACCTACACTTTTGGAGAAGGTTCCCCCTCACAGTGGAGGAAGAAGAAGGAAGCAGTTTCAGGGAGCGCTGTTAACGCTTTGACACCTACCTGAGCAAAGCATGCCATTCCCATCAGTTCAAATGAACTCGAACATGTCCACTAATCATGTTAAAGTTGGATAGCTGCTCTCATGCTAGACTCCATAATGGCCTCTTGTTCCAGAGAAACTTCCTTTCCCATAGAATGAAAATTAGCAAGGCCATTAAATGACCCTATCATCTCAGATTGCTAGGTTCTCTTCATAGTGTCTTGGAGTTACTTCACAAAATAATTAAGTAGTGTTGTCATTGTTTCAGTCCCTAGAATACAGGAACCGGGAGTTTGACATAATGAGACTGTTAGAGGACTCCCACACCTTGAGCACCCTCCAGCAGCCATGTGGACACACCTGCCTCACTGTCCCTCCTTTAGAATTCCCACTATCTCTGCCATGAATCTATTGCCTAATAATACTCCTCCTTGGAGCTGGCTTATTACAAAAATAGTGCAAATAGTTGAAAACAAAAGTCCCAAAACATAGTGCATTTTGCACACTGAGTGTATTTCATCCTTCAAATCCCAAGTTCTTCAATCTTCTCCTCTCCTTTTAGCAGGACAGCAACCCGCTCTTACCAGTGGGAATCCCCGCAGCCTCTCTGCTAGGAGTTCATCCTCACCAGAGGAACATCCTTGACTCTCTCTGATTCCAGCTGTTCAGTGCTTCCCAGTCTTCAGCTGTCTCTGTCCCTCTCCTCCTTCTCTCCAGGTTAGAAGTCAGGAGACAATCCCTCTGTTATCTTTTGCCCTTCACCTGATGTCCCTGACTCTGTGATGGGGAGATCAGCTGCTGCCTTCAGCCTTCCCCAAGCACTTTCCTACAGCAGGGCTAGGCAAAATACGGCCTGTGGGCTGGATTCAGCCCACCAGACATTTGAATCTGGTCTGCCATGGTTCTTTGGACCCGCAGACAGGCTCTTTGCCTGCTGTGGCCCCACAAGCCACTCAAAGCAATTGGCTGCTTGTGACAGCATGTGCATCTCTGCGCAGCGCACTCCTTGGGACCAACTGCCTCCCAGACTCTGCACCATCTCTTACACCTTTCCCCTAAGTCAGAATCCTTTCCTGCACCCAAACCCCTTCCTGGATCCCAATCCCAGGTCGCAACGCCCTCCTACACCGAGCTACCTTCCAGAGTCCACACCCCAATCCCCAAAAAAATTCATGGAGTGGCTCCCCATCAAAAATTACTACCTACTCCCTGTTGAGGTTCCTCCAAGGACCCCTTGGTCTCTCACCTTCCAAGCTCTCACTCCCAAGCAGTTCTCACCTTTTTTTCCTGGCTGGTTCTTCCACCCTTTCAGTTATTCCCTTCTCTTAATCCCAACTGGGAAGCAGCGGATGAGTCACAGCCTCTTCCTTTCTAAAGGACCATTGTCACTCTTAGTGACACTTACAAAATATGCAAACCAGGGTCCTGAGAATCTTCAGTTGAGAAATTCCCCAGAATTTACTCAGTTTATTTTGTTATTCCCAAGAGAAGTAGGAGGGATCATCCCACTTTGAACTAATATAATTGAACCACTTGTTCCCAAGAGGTTTAAAACGGAGTCCAAATGGAAAGTCAAACTAGCAGTGAGGTCAAACTAGCAGTGAGTCCAAACTACCAATATCAGTGTTCATAATATTTACCTATGTATACTGATAGCAGTTAAACACCAGGGCTGTGTCTAAACTACATGGCTCTGTCGACAGAGCCATGTAGATTAGGGTTATAGGCAAAGGGAAATGAAGCAGCGATTTAAATAATCACCGCTTCATTTAAATTTACATGGCTGCCGCGCTGAGCCGACAAACAGCTGATCAGCTGTTTGTCCACTCAGCGTGCTAGTCTGGACGCTCCCCTGCCGACATCAAAGCCCTTTGTCGGCAGCCC